AGATGACTAGTAAACTAAAAAGGATGTGGAAGGCATAGCTGAGGTGCTATCTTCACATTCTCCTGCAGGGACTAAGGACCCCCTTTCCCCCAAACTTCATACCCAAGAATTTGATATGGTACTCGAGGGACAGAACACAAAAGGTGTTGCTGCTTGAGCCAACATTAGGTTCCTAGGAACTCACTGATTACCTAACAAGTCTCTATCAAACTATTCCGGACATTCTGTAATTTGTTTAAAAATTGTCATCGCAGTTTGCCATAAAATGCGTTTACACTCACGTGACCTGCCAGACCCATCATATAAAAATATGAGCATCCATAGCTTAAGACTGACTTTTAAGAGTTAGGTAGCATGGCTTTTTTTCACAACATAAGCAGATAAATTTCCTTCCTTTTCCAGCTTGGCTTTGTGGTCCAACTAGCCTCCTACTTGGTGGGTCAAGGCATGAAACTAACCACTGCCCCCCTTTCAAGACAAATTTCAAGTGAACTCCTCTCTGCCTGCAGCCACAATCAAGGGAATGTGGACAAAGGTCAATTAATTTGAATAATCTTACAAGTAATAAGCCTCTGAGTACCAAAGCTCCCATTTTCAAACAAAACCTTTCATGTAGTTACTATAGGATTCTGACGATGGTGTATAACACACTGATATATTGGGTTTCTGGACTTTATCCATCGTCCTGGTTTTTAAGATAACAAATAAAAACACGACGTTTCGGAAACTGGATCTGTTTCCGTCCTCAGGTGAAGGAAAAGGGAAGCACCTATTCTGTTGGGTCCGTTAGAAAGAGCTAGCCTCAATCACCACTGTCCAGTGACCCAACAGGATAGGTGTTTCCCTTTTCCTTCACCTGAGGACGGAAACAGATCCAGTTTCCGAAACGTCGTGTTTGGACCACTGTCCAGTGATTGAGGCTAGCTCTTTCTAACGGACCCAACAGAATAGGCGTTTCCCTTTTCCTTCACCTGAGGACGGAAACAGATCCAGTTTCCGAAACGTCGTGTTTTTATTTATCTTAAAAACCAGGACGATGGATAAAGTCCAGAAACCAAATATATCAAAACCTTTCATCCATTTTCAGTACAACACCACTCCCAGCTTGGTGACAGGTTTGTTTTCTTCAACCATGCACTATGAGATCTTCAGACAATGTAAACCATCCCGATTCAAATCAGACAAAATGTATTACAAGCAAGGCTCCTAACAGACCATCACCACAGAAGAGCTGTTCTTGCAAAGCGAGGGTGACGAGGTGCTCAGGAAATGAACCAGGACATCCCACTAGGCAAATGCGTAGCGTAAAACATACACGTGTAGGGCAATGGATGACACCAGAAACAGATAGGGGGGTAATTAGTGAGACGTCAGTACAGCTGTACACTCCAGCCCTAACACTTGTGAGAAGTCCCACAATCCATGTCAGTGAATGAACAAAGATACTAGATACATGAATTTGTAACAAAAAAGAAGAAACCCTCGCACATTTTCAGTACAAAGTAACCTTTTCTAAGAAATTCTGCGTATCACACAAAGGACATATACATAGCCTGCTCAGTATTTGTAATGTACAGTTTCACTCCTACTAATGGCCAATGCAAAAAGTACACGTCCTTCATACTCTGTAGGAAGGTACACATAACGTATACGCCAAAATATGCAGTACTGAAGCTCATGCATCTCAAACTCACATCTGCATTTGTCGACGGGGCATAGCTCCAGCTGCACGTGTTCACAGTAGTGAAAAGGAAGTTATGTTGTGCAGTTTTTGGAAATGGGTCTCTCGACAGAGGAAAAGGTATTCATAGTTGAGTATTACTTCCGCTCATACGGAAATGGTCGCCAGACAACTCACTTCCTTGGTTTTGAGCGGTCAGATGTTATCGTCCAGAAACCGCTACACAGTACACGTGTGACGATATGGTGTGCCATCTCAGAACACACTGTATTAGGCCTCTATTTCATTGAGGACGAGGAAGGCAATGCTCTTACCGTCACCCAAGAACGCTGCAGGGACATGGTGATCGGACCATTTCTTCAGGATTTGAGAAGGTTCTGTCCTGCAAGGGGCCTTCACATGAATACAGTGGTATCAAGAGAACATCTTTTCATTTCAGTACTGTATATTTTGGCGCAGACTGTACTACCAGTAGATAGAGCAATCCTTTCTTTGGAATACCATTAAGGTATAAAGGAGGCAGGGAAGTAAAACCACAATTTCCTTACCCTTGATAGTGAGATGGTCAGTAATGCAGTATACAGTATACCCTTAAGCCTCAAACCCACACAGTAAAATGTAAAAGTGAGGCCAATTTTGGTCATAACAGTCCAAAACAGTTCCATGAGCCAGGTGGAAATCAAATACAGAGATCAGAATGAAACAACTAAAAAAAACTATCTTGGTATAATATCAAGCAGACAAGTTTAAACAAACTGGTTCAGACACTGCTGAGTCATTTATGCATTCCTGATGTTAGTGGAAATACCATTATTTCTGACACCACCTACGCACTTCTAACCACATAGCTGGTATTCACTTAAATCTGGTAAGAACTGCTAGAGCTATTTTCAGGAAAATCTAATTTTGTATCCGGAAGCCCAACTTAAGGCCGTCCAATCAATTTTACGTTTTACTTCGTATTACTGTGCACCAACCTACAATGGGTAATCTTACTCTGAAGACCACTTTTCCCTACTACAGGATGCTCAAAACAGGCAATCCATCAAACTCTGAAGATAATTTTTCATGATCACAATACTAAGACTACATAACAATGATCACAATACTACACTCAGTACAAAAAGTATATGGAAAGCTGCAACCATTCTAACAATTGAACATTTTAATTTTAAAACATCATGAACTGTGAAAACTACAATATCAACAGTTCATCATGAAAAAAATTAAACCAGAAACTCTTCAATTTTAAGTTTAAATATAAACCTGGTTACAAGACTAAAACTGAAAACATGAATTGGTAAAACATGAAGCAACTTAACTTTCCACTGAAATATGGAGTTTGGTAGTTATATGAATCTCCAAGGATGATACACAATTGTGCTCAAAATTTCCAATACAATCATCTTAGTTGCCACGTATGTTGGCAACATTATCTGGCAACTTTTTAATGGTGTAACAATCTAGGCCAATCTCTCATGACCCAGCCAGACTGCACAATATAGCAACCTCAAAAGATTTCAACAGAGCATGAACAGCTAGTAGCAACTCTATAATCCATGCACATCTATCTAGCCCTTACTGCGATGATTGGTCCATGGGTTTAGTACATTACAACATATTAACTAAATATTTCCGAACAAGTACACATAACCCATGCAAACACACAAACTCTACAAAATTAAGTTCATTACATTGATAAAGATTATGAACGAATACCACAGCTGACGTACATTTCATCCCCAACTCGGCCTTCTGTCACGGGTCAGACAGTTCCACGTTAAAACACCGTACTTCCTAGAAAAAAGAGAACGGCCAACAGTAACACACGTAATTGACGTAGACTTTGGTAATAATCACCCATGGAATGAAAGCCATAAATCTATGAAGAAAACAATTTGGACATTACCCACTAATTTAATGTCTTCAATATTACAACCCTGTTTTGAAGTACAGCACACAGAAAAAAATCTTGAGAATGTGCAGCATTTGGCACAGTTCACACACCCATTCTGAGTTTATTATGACGAATCAAATAAAAAAGAGATCTCAAGATGTTATTTGGTACTTCACGAAATTTTGTGTGAAGCCGGAGAGCTTTTGCAAGAGTTATGATAAAGGAACTTCAAGATACTTGTAATTTTCCTAACTATAGGTGATATTCTATACTTTTATCAGGAAGGTATCTTCAAGCATGCAATTTCTGGCTATCTGTATGCAGAATAAAGAACATCGCAACTGCACAAATTTACACTAACTACACTCATTCCCTGCTCTAGATATGGTTGCTTTTCTCATAGAGCAGTACTTCCTAACAGTTGAACCCACAAATAACATGCAAATCAAAAAATTAAGTTCAGTGGTATGAGAATTCTACCTGCATCAAACTCGTTATCATATTTTCACACTGCAGTAGCAGCTGTGACCACTACATGCTTCACTAGTGTTTATGGAGAAAGTTTAGTGAATAGTGGTTCACATAATTCAAAGTAATGTTCTGAAAGACATGCAAGAGTCTTGCTGCATTCTTTTTTCAAACTTGCATTATTTCAAACTCTGTGCATAAAGTGAAACTTAAATAATAGTACTTACATCACACTGTTCCAAATTTGCATAAGCGTAACCACACAGTACATCACGGCATGCAACCTAACAGGTCTGACGCACGAATAGAAAAATTAAAAAAGTTACACTTCCATGCATGAGGTTTATAGCTTCACTACAAAAAAAAATGGGGGGGGGCTGTTTCCCACTGTCCTCACGAAAATGCCATCCAAATGGACTCCCATGTGTGTACTCTCATACCACAGACACTACTAGCTCAGGTAACTTTTATTCCAAAAAAAGTTATGGCTGGAGAAATCATGTAACTGCTAGGCCAATTTTATATTCCTCCCTCACTACCCCTTTCCCTTAACCATAGCTCCTCTCAAGTGGCCAGTCCGCAATTTTCATAAAGTGCCTATTTACTGAAACTGGTCTAAATTAGCTGAGTACATGAAAATTAACACATTTATAAGTGCCAGTATATGAAAATTCTTACTTGCACATATAACCTACATATTTGCCTACACCGTGAGAATGATTGCTGGCCTATGCTCACGCAGGCCAAATGCTTTTGTTCATGAAGGTGGCAGTTCAGAGTTTAAACCAAAGAAACATTATGAAAGTATAAAGTTATCATTTTTTATTCACTAAACAATTCTGTCACTTGAGTCATCATTTCTGGGAGCTAAGTAGCAGTTACACTAAACCTTAACCAAAGCCTTAAAATCTTAGTTTAAATACTGAATATACACACACGTTATCTCAGGTGATACAGGAACTCCTGAAGCATCAGATGTCCATTTCTACAGCCTTGCGACTTGAACCTCTTCTCACACACGCAGCATCCAGTCCTCTGGGAACCTAAGACAAGACCACTGAAACTGATATATTCAAATTAATTTTGTCATGCCAACAGTTTCTTGTTGGGAAGTGGAAGGGGAAATAGTCCATGAATCAAAAATACTTGTCATAAATAAAAAAAACTGAAGAACTGCTATTCTAGCTTAATGATGCAACCAAACTACAGCAAATTTTGATATCAAGGGAAATGTTCCATCAAGAGTCAATATGAAACCTGATCAAATGCAGAGTGCTCACCTCACAATCGAAGCGAGTTACATACTGAAGCAAATATCCATGTCACTTGTCATTAAATACACACAAAACAATTTGCATAATGTGGTTAATTTTATGCGTTAAGTTCCTACTCGGGTAATATTTCCACATTTACAGCAAACATTTATCTTAATTTTGCCTCAGAAAAGTCTCATAGCTGCTGAGTAGGAATTGTCAGCTATGTCAGTTTCAATTAAATGGTGACGTCAACGAGTTCTACTTTCTGGGGGATGGCACTCAGTCCATTCTAAGCCAAGGGTCATTTCGAAGAACATACCGCCATCTTCGGGGTCAACAAGCAAGCAAAACAACCGCCATCTTCGGGGTCAACAAGCAAGCAAAACAAACAAGCATGCAGCTTAGTATTTTCCGTGGTTTCTTGCTTGGCTTACTATTTGATCCTAAGTTCAAAGCAACATGCCCTCTCAATGTCAGGTGCTTTCACTGGACTGCACTTCTTAATAACACAAAAATAGAGAGCTCTTCACAGTCAGCTTTGTAAGAACTTCAGATCCTAACTATTCATTGTTTTGTTCCACAAGACTGCAGATACTAGAACTGAAAAAACCACTTCCCAACAACAAATATCAGCAGAACACACATCACCCCCCAACACTAAGTTACTGTGCGCATTAAAAAAAATAATAGTGACGCATAAAATGGAAAACCTACATTTCAAGATGAGTTGCATTTAATACAAATTTATGCACTATGAATTGCAATTGCATAATTTCCCACCTTTCATTCACCCTAGGCCTTGTGTGGAACTGTTCTAATTGAATTTAGTGTAAATGTGTTAATATTTAGGGATCATTCATGAATTAGATCAGTTATTTACTAGGAATTTTTATCTAACATCTGAACTTACGAAAAATAGTTTGCACATATACTGAAATTACTGCGAGGAAAAAGATTTCCACCAGGAAAATTACAATAGAACTGATAAGCCATTCTCTACTGACAAATTGGGGGGGGGGGGGTTACGTGAAAATGTTAACATTAAAATTGTGATTAAAATTAAAATCTGAACCACCACTGCCAATAAAATTCAGGTTTTGTTCAAAACTAACATTTCAAATTGTAAACTGTGCAGTTTTGGGTTTTCAAGTTGCCTCGTGGTGGGCAAATCGTCAACACTCAACTCAGTTAAATTAATGCAGAGAGAATTTCTGCAGATACCAATGCAGGACCAATAATTCCTAAGCAGCATCGAGATGAGGAGTAAATGCAAGGGACCTGAACCCCTCTAGCAAAGTGGAACATAAAATGTATAGAATCACACTCAGGAAAGTTATGAATGAATCCCATACATTAAATGTACCACAAAATCGACTACTGAAAATAAAAGTAATACACACAAACCGCGTTTTGGTCATCTACAGTTCAGGCCAATTTCACTTCCCCCAAACACTACTAATAAAAACGTACTTACACTGTACTTCCAGCAGACGTGCGAAAAGCTGCAACCAATGAAGCTCACATCTCCCTCTCTCTCTGCAGGAATGATCCTCTGATTGGCTGGATGTTCTTCGTAACAGGTCCAGGCTGCCCCACCCCCTCCCTCACCCCATTTGTGAAATGATGGGACATCGGGTAAAAGTAGACACAGGTGTACCCTGGATTGTCTGTTTAAAACATCTTCAAGCATCATCAAATAGAGGTACAATATGTCATCATGCAAGTTACTGATTCCACCTTCAACATATGGAAACCAAATCTCTATACCTGAATTCTTGAACACAGCCATTAACCTCGAAGATGTTTTATACAGAAGTTTATCAATGGAAGGCTGGTTGGGACTTGAGCAACCCCCCATCTCCCACCCCATCAGTAACAGAAGTTTCATGTGATGAAAGTAATGTGTAACCAGCATCACTCCCTTAGGAGAGGCAAAACTGTTACGTAGTTTAATGATGAAACAGAACTGCCAAAAGTAGACCTCTGTTCTGAGATTTAACGTCTGATATAGGGTTGGAACCTGAATAATAAATCTCACAATAGTGGTGGTTCCATCCCTTTCTCCTCTTCGTCTTCCTCCTCCTCCACCACCCTAACTTTGAGCTGTGTGCAAGTGAACTTCATCCCTATCACTTGATAGCCAAACTTTCCCCTCGCTGCCCCATCCTGACCCACGAACAGTTAAATGCATTTCCTGTAATTAGTTCCATCACACAAACAGCACCGAAGTTATGGTATCACCATGCATCAAAACCATTAGTTTACCAATTTAAGGGTTACATTATACATTAACTGATTAAAATGCTACACAATTGGATTAACCAATCACATGAGTATCCACCAATAATCAGTTAATATACTGTTGCAGGAAGACTAAAAATGAAGTGTTCTCTGGTAGTCAAAATGGGATGATTCAGTATAATTATCTTTTAGGAGGCTGTGGCATTAAAAAGAATGTAAACTGTTCATGAGTCAAAGAATGCAAACTGTTCATGAAATAGTTACTGAGTGTCCACAATGAATTACCTCGTTAAAATCCAAACTACCCTGACCAATTCCATAGCACCATGTGGATTATGTTCACTACAGAAGCCACAATTTAGGTCCATGAGCTTAGTACCAGTAAGAAAAATACGGGGGGTTAATGGCCTTCAGGGCTTATACCTAATCTGGAAACTCTGCAAACCTAATATAACCTGAGCTGCTACCCGAACCACACAGAAACTGTGTCATCTGATGAATGCTTCACAAATTCCTCACAACCAAGAAACTGAATTAATAATGTTGTGGGTGGAAATAAGCATGTGTAAACTGCTTGAACAAGTCAACCTATTCAGAACTTAATAAAACGTGAACAAGGTAACACATCCAACTTCAGAGAGGAAAAAATGGAACATGTAGGGCATAAATTTAAAGCCATACTGGAACTACGGAGCTGTTGAATTTAGGTGCTGACTGAGGCTCGATGTAACAATCGGTTCATAAACCCTTGAACCAACCCCTAAGGCAATACATCAGCTTTATCTAGTTCATTATTAAATATGGTTACAACAATCCAACATTGTTAGACTGACACTCACTCATCCTACATAGCACTTAAGTGCAAATGCAAATTCATCTTTCAAAAATCAAGACATACGATTTCCACAAATAATATACTTCAGAGCTGCGAGTGACGAAACAGATACATCTGATATGCCTCTAAAATAAAATATTACTGCCAAAACTTGGCGAACGCACAAAACATTGTACTAAGAATGAACAGTTACCTGTAAAACCGCTAACAATACAATTAAATGCATGTATTGTGCACCCATGAAATTTTGTAACGAAAGTGTAAAGTCTAAGAATCAATCATGCTGCATATTGAACCCCCATTAACAATTTAAAACATCCTTACTTTTTGCTAGCACACATCAAGTTCTCAATAAAATTCTGGTGTGGACTAACCAATCAGTACTTCATGATGTGCCACCAAAAAGAAGTCAATGTGTCATGTACCCCAATGTATAACACAATTTCCCTCCTGAATACAAAAATCATGGGACATGAATTGAAAAATGAACTTATAATACAGAGGTATGTGAAAACATAATTACCTTTAAAGAATCCAGTATTCCATAAATCAGGTAAGACGACTCTTCAAAATTATTCTTAATGTCTTGTTTTGCTCCAAACATTTCTTCTTAAAAAAGCATATATATAAGCACTTTCTACGCAAGTAGTGCTTACTTATGCGCTGACTAGTTTCATAATCTCGTGCTATTTCAATATTATGCGAAGCCAAATGAATGCTTTCGAACAGCTTGGCCGAAGACAAAAGAAAAACACGATATTTTTGACGATGCAATTCCACGCAAACATACAGCCTATTATAATCAGAATTCGCCACGTCATAGTTCATACATTGTCAGTGGTCTGGAAATTTCCTCCTCCACTGCTGCTCGACTTATAGCCTACATAGTTCTGCGTGTGGATGCCAGCATGCTGACGCAAGTTATCGGGTCGCGAGAACTTCCTGCCACAAACGGAACATTCCAATTTGAAGCGGGCTTTCCCACACTCATAACGAAGATGCCTGTTAAGTGTGGAGCGAGATTTGTAGCTTTTGCCACACAGTTGGCAAACATGAAGCTGAATGTCATCCTCCTCTGACGGAACACCTTCAAACTGGTATACATACGAGAGGCCCTGAGTTGATATGACCATGCCTGCAAAGATACCACGCATGTCAAGGCCAGCAACCTAACATCACTTGCTCCAGTCACAAAGACATGCGCAAATAACCGAACTCAAGAGATAACTTCTTAAGGTAACAGTAAATTTCATACTGGTACTTCATGTTAGGATTATGAACAATTAGCACAGAACATATCGCAAAAAGGTCCAAGACAAAGCACTACATTCCATATGCACTTCAAAACAAGAGAAGCTGCACACAACCTCAACAAGAATCGTCCTGTGGTCATCGATGACTTCAGTCAATACCAAAACAAAACTCAAGCAAGTTAGTACTTCAAACACTACAAAAGACAAGCAATTTTGTAATTTCCAGGCATGAAATAACCTAAAATCACATTACAGACTATCAAACACGCATACAAAATTACAAAATAAGAATCACGAGAAATAGTAGTTATGATACAGAATCTACCCAAATTTTGCGTTCATAAGAAAACAGGGTTCAAATTTTAACGAACAAGAAACATGTCAGTGAAATAAGTCCCAATGCTTCATCAGATATTCCTTCTTGGTGAAAGTAAACGGACAGTGTGGGCAGGCGAACTTCTTGGAAGTAGGATCACACTCTTGCAGATGGCGGGCCAGTCCACTGCGGTACTTGTACCTACGCCCGCAGTATCGGCAGATGTTACCCGGATACATCTGCTGGCCCGGTGGGCCCACATATGCTGAAAAACAACCAGTCCCGCTGTTGTAATGCTACTAACCCACATTATATATCTGCAGCCAGCACACAACGCACTTCAAGAATACTACACTCAAGGCATGTCTTACTAGCTTCAACGCGATTAATACAAATCTTATGAAAATACAACTAATCCCCAATAACCAGCATTAAATTGGTGAAACAATTGCCATATTCAAATGTCAGGCAAAATATGAAGTGGAACGAACAAAATATCTTCTCAAATTATCAGCATACAGCATTTACATCTTCCAATCCCTAACACAGATTGAAGTTATCACACAGAGCAAATCGTTGAAAAGTAGCTTAATACTGAAATTTCATGGTAAACAGTAAACTATCATCTTTCAATAAAGTAACAGCTAAAAGTACAAGCACCCAAAGCATAAAAGTGTGGGTATAGAACCCAAATATCCCTAAACCTGGACAGGCTACATTTTCTTTCATAGCACAAAAAAACTAGAAGTACAAATGTTACTCAAATGCCTGTAACGGCCAACTTCGGGGACTTTGCTCATGCAATGAAAAACCCATGACGTGTACATCATGAAAACCTTCAAATCTATTAACTGCAGAATGTATTCAGCTGCTATACACTCAAAAGTTCATACAAATTTTACAAAACAATTACATATCTTCCTCAGTTACATGTCCGGCATTACGCTGGTGTACCTTCAGTACATCACTCCGTTTAAAACGTTTAAAGCAAATGCCACACGAGAACTGTTTTTCAACACCGCATTCATATCGTAGATGGCGTTCTAACGTATAAAGTACTGCGTACTTGCGGTCACACCGAGGACAACTCAAGGATTTGTTAGAGTTGCCTTGACCGATAAAGTCTTGGTATGGAGGAGCCAGATTGCCGGCAGATGAGTTTGAGCCAGTACCAGAACTACCACTGCCTCGTGTCCAAGCTGCCATAGACATCAATCCTTGGTGCAACCTACTATTTGTCTGTGATCCAGACACCATTAGCCATGCTGCAACAAATATGACACTCGGTGTTACCGTCGGCAACAGGAAATGCATAAAAAGAAAACGGGCACTGGGAAAGAATCTATGCATTCCTGCCTTTCACTTTAATCGCTCTATGTCACGGATATCTTGCACACCCTAAAAATATCCCAAGTAATCGGTGAACGGAAAATAACACACCTGACCATCTTAACTACCTAACAGCTGGTAAGCAAGTGTAAAAAATACCATATACATCAATCAGAAATGTGTTTAAGCATGGACTGTTTTAAACAGACCAGAATTGTGTCTAAATTGAAACAGCAATCTAAAAGAAGTTATATAACTTGAATACACTCCACCAACTTCCATACAAAATTCAAAAGACTGCCATCTCAACAGCATTAAGTACTCCATCTGGTAGGCTTTCTGCTACCAAGTACCTTCCAGCTTTCTGCTGCCAAGTACCTTCCAGAAGGAGTATGACAAACACATGAAACCATCCACACTAATTGCACTAACAGGATAAAATTGAAGCCACATCCAAGAACCAGTAGCTTCAATGACGGCACTACTTACAGGCCACTTGAAACAAACCAGATCAATAAAATGCATCATGCAAGTATCAACTGTGGTTACTGACAACCATGACATATTAAAAAAAGCAACTGCAATCATCAAAACAAACATTAAAAAACTGAAGGCATGTTAACAGGCATATTGAGGGCTATTGTCCGTGTCTTTGTCTTTGATTACAAATGCAGGAACTGGGAGTTCACAGATACAGCAAGTAATTACAGCTCCGTCCCATTCAGCAAAATGGGTAGATTCCAATTTCCTTTGCAAGATGGAGACAACCAGTTCCAGAAATGTACTCAAAACAAGTTCATATACAACTGTCCAATATGTCAGTTGGAAGACCATACACTTCAATATTCCTGTGGATTTAAACAAACTTTTGTTTTCTTTATGCATCATAAGCACAAAACAATCTTCAGCTTAAATATCCTACTTTCATACTCTTGCACGAAAACAAACATTACAGCGAGAA